CGGGCCGTTGTCGTGGTGCAACTTTCAGTGGGCTGCGATGTCTTGTCGGACCCGACTTCGTTTGAGTCTCGTGAGCACTTCCACGTAAAAGTTGGCGTTGACGGTTTCAAAATGATGTGCCACAAGACCCCCGTTTTCATATTCTTTTTTCCAAGACGGCGCCCAGCGGCCGACATTTTCGTCTGTCAAGTATACTCTAAAATATCCACGCATCAATTTCATTACCTCATGTTTTAATTTTTTAAATTGATCCGTTCAAGAAATCAAAGGAAAGGGGGACATTAAAGAAAAGTACTGTATATTGATTATTGGTGACTGAAAGTCTTAAAGTTTACTTGATTTTGTTTGGCATTTTACGAATTTAAATATGAGTCAGTACCTACATGGCACCTTCTATTGGACATTAATTACGTTGATCATGATATTGATTTTTGAGCTGCCATAACTGTATTTTAGAACAAGGGATAAATTTCTGACTTTTTAATATTTGTTTTTACCTTTCCTATACTTTTCTTGCAATCAGTAGTTTTGTGTCAGACAGAGAGTAGAGAGTAGATTTTTTTTAAAAGTCTTTCTCTCTAAGGTTTGTTTACGGTCATACCGTAAATTTTGGACCCGAGGGATGCAACCTCGTGACGTGTCCACTACTGGCTTCCTTTTTTGTTCTTTTTGACCTGGGATTCATCTCGGCTGCGTCTAGCCGTAACTGAGAGGAGACCTCCGCCCTGAATAGTGTAGTTTAGGCGTAAAACATATATTTAAAGCATATGCCATGGTAAACGTCAACTAATTTTATTGTACGACATTGTGATTTTTTTTAATATCTTGTTTCATTTGGCTTTCCATGCACTATTAATTGCTGTTAGATTACACTGGACAACAAATTTTAGTTTTTTAATTGTATCTTGTGGGAAAAGTGCACTTCCTTGGTAATTTTGGGGCGCTGAATCCAAAAATGACAATGAATTAAAAAAATTAGTTGCGGTTTAGAAAAAAAACTTTTTATTTTTAAGGATATATTAAAAAACAACAGGTAACAAACAAGGTAACAAGATTCATATACCTATAAGAATCACTATATGCGCTGTCTTTTTGCTGTTCTTTTATGGATCGTTTCTGGAGCATCTCTACCAAGAGTAAAACAGTAGTCTGCAAGCATGGAAGGATTCCACTTTCCCTGGTACCTTTTTTCCATTGTTGAAATATCCCGATGAAAACGTTCGCCGTGCTCATCACTTACGCCTCCGCAATTGTCAGGAAAAAAGTCCAGGTGTGAGGGTAGGAAATGTATCTTAAGAGACATATTACAGCCCATCTTTTGATACGATGACAGCATATTTTTGACAAGGGTTTTATAGTTGTCAGCTTTTCTATTTCCCAAGAAATTAGTGACCACCAGACGGAAATCATTCCAAGCAGTTTTTTCAATACCTGTTAAAGTGTTTTCAAACTGTGTATCTTTCAAAGTATTTCGAATCTGTGGCCCAACAAAAATACCTTCTTTAACCTTTGCCTCACTTAGTCTTGGAAATTTCTGACGCAGGTATTGACAAGCTAACCCATCTCTATCTAATGCCTTGACAAAGTTTTTCATTAGGCCCAACTTGATATGCAGTGGTGGTAATAAAAATTTTTTCGAATCTACTAGTGGCATATGCTGTACATTTTTTTGACCTGGCTCTAGGAATTGACGAACAGGCCAGTTTTGTCTGGTGTAATGAAGTGCCTTTGCCCGACTGTCCCATTCACACAAAAAACAGCAAAACTTTGTGTAGCCTAGCTGCAGCCCAAGTAAAAGTGCAACAACTTTCAAATCGCCACAAATATGCCATTGGTGCTCATCGTATTTTATGCATGTCAATAGGTACTTCATATTGTCATATGATTCTTTCATGTGAGCTGCATACCCTACAGGATGAGATGGTAAAATATTTCAAATATGCAATAACACTGCCTTTAAACTCAATGTTGAACTGTCTATAAACAATCTCCATTCTTCTGGGTTATAGTTTATATTTAAAGCCGCCAGTAAGCCGTATGTTACTGCAGAAAACCAAGTTATTCTCCATGTTGAAAAATAGTTCTAAGTCTTTGTGGCGTTTACGAAAAACACATACCGAAACATCGTCTTCTAACAAGTTCCACTGCTGCAGTCTTGATCCAAGTAACTCTGCCTTACATTTTGGAAGTTCTAAATCTCTTACAAGATCATTTAATTCTGACTGTGTTATTTTGTGCGGTTGGTGGCATGACGTGCTCGGTATAAAATCAGGATCTCTTGACGTTGATGGCATATCTTCTTCCTGACGAACCACTCGATCGCCATGATCTGATTCGTTTTCTGATTCGCAAGTATAGGATTCTGGGGGTTTTGGAATAGGATTTTCGTCACTGTGAGGCACAGGTCTCATCGCAGATGGTATGTTTGGGTAGTTAATAACCGATTTTTTTTTCTTGGACATACCTGTGGCTTGTCCAACACAAGGTACCATGCAAAAGTAACAATCATTAATATGATTTGTAGGCTCTCTCCAAACCATTGGGACAGCAAAGCGCATAGACCGTTTTTTGCCATTTAACCAGCTCCTCAGACTTGAAGCACATGTATTACAGCAGATGTGGGGTGCCCACTGTTTGTCTCGCTCACCTAGTTTACAACCGAAATAAAGCTGATATGCCTTTGTTATTAGTGGAGTAATATACCGTCTCTGAGACACAAAAGTCACATCACCACAGGCGTAACAAAACTGATCTGGATTGTTTACACACTTTCGAGACATCTTGCATGAACGCTGTCAGCCAACTGAGGAAAAAATGGCTAATATAAAACAATATAATGTATACGTATGTATAACGTAACACAATCATGCCGATTACATCATCGTTCCTTGCCGAATATAAAAATGTAGCACGTGCATTCTTGTGAATTACAGTATAATAACACCGCAGGAATACATATAATTACCGTTTCTCTAAAACTTGAACTAATATTGAAAAAATATGTTTCATTCCGGTTTTAGCACATTAAAAGTAGTAATATTTTGTTGATTTTATTTAGGATATTTTTTGGCTGTTGATCAGTCTTATCTTATTTTGTGTGGGTGGTCAAGCAAAACAAGTTCCGATTAACACCTCGGGGTTTGTGGATTAATCCGTTGTAAGACTATCCGCTTTATTGAGCTAGTGCCTCAATTTGCACGCCACTAGACAGCTGTTTTGCATTGACCGACCCTTAGACTTCATTTATTGTACTTTATTTATTAGTTCATTAATTAATTTCAAAAGAAATGGAAAGTGGAATCACACAATCTTTTCCCGTTTATTTATAAAAAAAGGCGTGGCAAGCCTAAGATAAATGCGGCGAGTCTTACAGTGTACAGTAGAGATTTTTAATACAATTCCCAGGATGTTTATAATTCAAAAAATACTGGTCTGGTATTTCAGTTAACTTCTCAGTATTCGCAGTTATATTCAGAGCAGCATATACGCAGTATTGTTTTATTGAAAATAAGGCTTGCACGCGCAGTTGAGGTATTAAGAGCCAATTAGGTTTTGGTATGTAGGTTTTGTGTATTCATTTTTATTTTTATAGCGTTTCCAGAATTTCATATTTCGAAACGATGTCAAGGGTCCGCAGGGGAAAATCTTTCTCTGAGAACTGAAAATCATTAAACGCGCTGTTTTCAGTCTATCTTATTCTATCCCTTGGGGAAGTACAGAATGAAGAAAAGACTACACTGCTCAGTGGCCACTCAGTGGTTCAGTGCTCGTCTGTAACGATAATATTCAAATACTACTAAACGCCTAAATAGCTTTCTGGCCTTTCAATTTCGAAGCTACCAGTCCTCGCTTAGAGATGGTAGCACAGTTAAGGATAGACTCGGGGTATACGGTTACGGATGTTTATGATTCCTCTCGATATCGATATATCGTCATGAAACCATCGATGCGTAAAGATCGATGTTCTACGTCCGATGTATCGATGTTTTCGATACATCAATGTATCGTCTATCGTCGCCATCCCTATATTGTAACCCCACCAGTCACCAGTCAAAAACCTTAACCACCAATATTTTATCACTATTTATAATTCTTTTTAGCTCTTATTTTTCAGTAATTACTAATAATTTTAGGTCTATGTCTACAGTAATTGCATTATGCACCTCGGAGATGTAGGGATTAACATGTTTTACACATATCGGTGTTTTAGGATGGGGACGACCATACTGTTTCGATTGCTTTGAAGAAATTCATTAACCCATGGATTTATAACAAATGATTACTATTATGATGTAAAGAGAGATGAGGAATTGGGTGGAATACATTTTATATTCTATTTTCTTGCAAATCCGCACAATTCAACAGGTATGTGTAGCTATAATGATCATATACACACAGTATATTGAACTTAAAAAATTTCGAGATTGCCGTGAATTAACAAACGACCAAACCTGCTTCCAAATTTAAAAGCTAGAAAATCGACCTATTATTTCTCCCATTCCCATTCGCTGAGGGGACAACGGATGGTCAAATGTACACCTATAACATAAATCAAAGTACATGAAAGTTGTCCTGTTTTCTCTGTACAAAAGCATCATGTTGGAATCAAAAGGTGGTCTTGTTTATAATACAGTCGAATTTTCACGATTTTATTCATCATTTTAATAGAAATCACTGATATTCTGAGACCTTTGACAGCTTCCGCCAAATTGCATTTCGATAAGGTATTTTCCTATTGGTTCATAATATTAATGTTGGTGAAATCGGCCCTAAGTAAATCAAAAAAACCTTGTTTGCGCGTGCTTCCATGAGTTCATTTCACTACTCATAGTACTCGTAATATAACTTAAGTCTCAATATCCACTAATCTTTACCATGCACCCTTATCTTAGAAGCTTTGATCACCATACATTTCTGTAAAATTAAAATAAACTCAAGCAAAGACTATAATTCAGACATGAAAAATTATAAGGTAACCGTTGAGACTTTGTGAATCTTACCTCTTCTATAAGCCTATTGCCAAATATACAAAAGTGGAACACTTGGGCTAAGGAGTACACTAAGTAACCAATAACACTTGCTGCATATTTGTTGACACCGTCGATCTGAAATAAAAAAGAGTTTAAGCTTCCGAACCATATAAATTAGGATAATATACATAACATGTAAATTATGGTATCCTAATAACTAGTTTCCTTAAGAAATTCAGCAGTACGATCGAATGACCATCCCCTTAAGGTGACCGTCTTTTATCGGTTATTTCTTCGAATAACGACTGTTGGCACACCTCTCCAACTCTTATCAATTTCCAAGATTTACAGGTGTTACTTCTAGAGCTTTCTGGAATATTTCTTTGTTTGAGGTTTAGCATATACAGTGGACCCCCGATAATCCGGCCCCGGTCTAATCCGGCGCCCCCTGTAATCCGACATGTCTTTGAATATTACATACATACGTATTTGACAATCTTCGCTAATGTAGATCGCGCAGGTTTAAACAGGTTACAACTTGTACGCGCCACCGCTATCGTGCTCGACGCGTAAGTATTGTTTTACTTAGTTTGAATTTGACTACTTGTGATAGCGGTACGGCCTAGCGCGCGTTCATTGTTTACTATTTATTCATTGTGTATTAAGTATAGTACCTAGTAATGTCATCACAAACTCAGAAGCGGAAGCACAAAACATTGACAATTAAAGAAAAATGTGATATTTTAGACCGCTTACATCGCAATGAAACTGTCAGTAGTTTAGCAAGTGAATACGGCGTAGTCCGATCTACAATTTATGACTAAAAGAAACCACGAGAAGATTAAGAAGTTCTTGTCAATTACTGACTGCGGGCCAGGCAAGAGACAGACACTCAAGAAAGCTGAACATCCAGAAGTGGAAGAAGCTTTGTACATGTGGTTTCTTCACGAAAGAAATAGGCATGCACCAATTTCAGGACCCATGTTGGCCATGAAAGCTATTTTTAAGCTTTTTTATAAGAAAATAACAAAAAAAGATGATTTTGTGGCCAGCAAAGGATGGCTAGAACGTTTTAAAAGTCGTCATGGCATACGTTTAGTGACTATTACAGGAGAGAAACGATGCCACCTGCATAGAGCCCTTTAAATTAAAATTTTTGGAAAAGGTGAACGATTTAAATCTTGATCCGTCACAGCTGTACAATGCAGACGAATCAGGGCTTTTTTGGCGTGTGATGCCTAACAAAACTTTCCTTTCTTGTAACGAAAAATCCGTACCTGGACGAAAAGTAAGGAAAGAGCGTGTAACCATACAACCATATGCGAACGCTGCGGGCACACACGCGATTAAGATGATGGGAAATCTAATAAACCACGGGCATTCAAAAACATTGATTTACCTGTACACTATTACGGACAAAAAAGTGCATGGACGACAAAAGACCTTTTCAAAAAGTGTTTTGATGACTGCTTCGTACCTGAAGTTAGAAAATGGTTAAAATATCATAATTTTCATCAAAAAGCGTTGTTGCTTCTTGATAACGCTCCCTGTCATCCGTCTGAAGAAGAACTAACATCTGAGGATAAATGCATCACTGCGATGTTTCTTCCACCAAATTGCACTGCACTGATTCAACCAATGGACCAGAATATCATTCAGTTTGTCAAGCAAGACTATAAGAAAAACCTACTTCTGAGAGCCGTATCAAAAGACCAACCAATAGAAAAAACTTTAAAAGAATTTAATATGAAAGACTTGGTTTTTGCTCTTTGTCAGTCAATCATCAACTATTAAATCGTCTTGGAAAAAGTTATGGCCAGATATAGTCACCACTCCAAGCAACGTTCCACAAATCAGTGTAACTTCGGAAGTTATAGAACAAGTCGCTACCGAAACACAGATAAGTCCGGAAGATTTGGAAATCTGGTGCCGTGGAATGGATAAAGAGGAAAATGTTTTTCATGAAATGTCTGACGAAGAGATTATGAAAGACGTTTCTAATTATACAACAAACAATCAGGGAAATAACGACGACGTGATTGCAACTACTCCACAAGTCACAGCACAAGACGCAATTAACGCATTTGAGCTAGGTTTACAATGGGCTGAAGAGAATGGTACATCTAACAACGAATTTTTACTTTTGAGAAGACTGAGGGACAAAGCTCTGATCTCGCGTTATAACAACCTTAAACAAAAAAAATGGATTAATATTTCCAAGCTTCATAATTTAATAAATTCATTAATGATTTTGTTTAATAATTCTTGATTATTTTGGTACATATGTGCATTTATGCTTAATTTTATAATAAAATGTAAGCTCTCTATTTTTATTTAATTTACTAAATTCGACATACATAAACTATGTATGATTTGTACTTCAAAGTACATACATATATAGTCAACGCCAAACAAAGTGGCGTGCACGTCATCAAGGTGGGTGTGTTGAAAAATTTACATTGTTGCCAAACTTTTTGTAAAATAATAAAATTTATTATTTACATATCTAGGTTTATAAGCAATATTAACCTCAAATGAGAACAAAAATAATAGTATAATAAAATTATAGATCTGTACTTGCATAATCATTAAGTATGACAATTATTGATCAGATGACACTATGAAACTACCATATTTAATTGATAGCTTAAAGGTACTGAATAAAAATCCAAATGGGGTCCTCCAAATTTTATGCATGGTATTTATTTTACAGAATTCATACAGAAAAATGCATTCTAAAATTAGGTAAGCTACTGGTGTAAGCTTTTTCTGTACAATAAAGTTAGTCGGAGTTTCTTTCTTCAGCGCTGTCTGAATCTGAATCTTCATCACTCTCAAAGTTGATTATTAAAGGTTCGATGTCTGGTCGATCAAAAATTCGTTCTCTTTCGTACCATTTAAAAATTTCTTGCCCAGTATGTCGAACACTATTTTTCCACATGTCTGGGGTAACCGTTTGTAGAGCCTCGTTCCACATATCCAAACAGTCTTTTTCACTGTTACCATCTCTAGCAATATGTCTGTTATAGTAACCTTTTGCTATGCCAGAAATTAACTCAATAGGGTTAAATATACAATGGTAAGGAGGCAGACGAAGAACTTTGTGCCCATGTTGTTCCGCCAATTCATCAATCACGTACATTTTAGGTGGTTTGTTTCTAAAAAAGCAGTTATTTTAAGAATAGGAATAAACAAAAGAAATATAAACTGTCGACCAAAATATATATAATTAAGAAGCATTATGTACCGAGCAACAATACTCAATAGCTCTGTTTTAAACATTGTATTTAAAAATGGTATGTTTTGATTTGTCAACCAGTCTTGGATATTTTTTTTTGTCCATGCATTGTTGGGCACTTTGTTCAATATCATGCTGTGATATGGGGCGTTATCCAGTATAATCATAGATGGACTCTCCAATTTTTCTAATAACTGATGTTGAAACCATTTCAAAAAATTGTCCTGGTTCATCTCTCCATGGTAATCGCTCAATTTTGTTTTCGAAGAAAATATCGCTTCACTACCCTCAATAAACCCATTTTCATTTCCAGCATGTAATATAATGTATCTAAAATATATTAGTTTTAAATTTTATAGTGCAAATTGTGTAAAAGTACATACCTTTTACCATCTGTTTTAATAGTTTTCACGCTTTTTTGGTTTCCATTTTGCCAAGAGCGACCTATGGTCCCATTTTGAAATATCCAAGTTTCATCGAGGAAGACAAACTGGTATAAGGCCTCAACCTTGGCTTGATTGTATTGCCTTAGAAATTCCACCCTTTTCAAAGCTATACTTGGTAGTTCCATGAGCCCTCGTCGCGGATTGTCCTTAAGCCACTTAAATCCAAGATCTCTAAGCAACCGCCTTAAAGACGTGGCACTACCATCAAATAATGCCCTATCTCTTAATCGAGACCATAAAGTTTGTATCGTAACTTGTTCTTCTGAAACCATGTGTAATATGACATTATAATTTAGTTAACAAATTAATGCAAATTTCTGATAAGTTATTATAATAAGATCTTACTTTTGTGATACATATTATAGATCACTTCTCGAATGGCACTTGTATCCAATGTCGCTGTGTTGGTTACACGTTTAATATAACTCCGCTTTTTCTTGGGCGATTCTAAATTTGCATCACTTTTCACACCCTCGGAAATACGACTAACTGTCCTTAAACTAATTTTTAAAGCAGCAGCAACACGCTACAAAAAATGAAATAAAATTTCAGTATTATTAATATACATTACATATAATTATTAGTAACCTACCTCTTGAACAGCATTTAAAGGCAACAAAGGCCCGTTGTTGTCCCTTTCTTGCTGAAAGTAGTGCATTAACGAGGCCACGAGTTCCTTACACCGACTATTTAACTGTTTGGGCATCTTTATATACCAAAATTGCCTTTATCTACTCGTAAAATGAATAATTTTGTTTTGAAACAAACAGTTGTTGATTTACAGTATGCGGGGCCAAAGGATTTATAAAGATTTGAAATGCCACAAATTGATTCAGTGTCAAAATTAATACAAATGTCAGTTCCCAGTTTAAATAAGTTTCAAGGTGACAATGTGTCAACGCTGCGAAATCGGTTTAGTGCGTTTACATGTCGATAAGTGATTGGAGCGTTTGCAAAACATTTTATTTCGCATAATGCGTCTGAATTTATCAGAAAGCAACTTATGTGATATTTTAATAACAATGTTTATATGACTATTAACCATAATAAGAGAGTAATGACCATTTTACAATTTATGTATCACATTAATATGAAACTGCAATAGAGCAATTGTTTGTGATAGAAACCTAGGCATTAGGTCGGGGAATTTTTATCGTGATGACGTGCACGCCACTTTGTTTGGCGTTGACTATACATAACATATATAATCTTACCATTGGATATGTAATTTGTCGGATTACAGGGTACTCTTTTGTAAAAAATTCCGGACTATAGGGGGTCTTAGGCAGTGCTCTATAATCCGACAAATTCGATAGTCCGACACTGCCCTGGATAATATTTGTCGGATTACCGGAGGTCCACTGTATTGATAAGATAAACCTTGTATTAGTACGGGAGCCGAAGGTAGACTTTAATGTTCATATTATCTGTTCCTTCACAATAATGTTGTA